GGGGGGGGGGGGGGGGGGAACATCGTCATTGCGAAAGAATGGTAGCGAGGGCAGGGAGGAAGTGAAAGAAGGAGCAAGGAGCGACAGCAGGTACGTACGATAGTCACTGCCAGCCAGCACTCACAATGACAATGCTTCCCGCCTGGTTGTTGTCAGCCTGCGCGCATTGCTCTCGGCCGATCTTTCCTCCGGTTTCGTGGCTTTCACCAGGTTGCGATCGATCAGATCTTCCACGTCGCCATCGCCAGAGCTCACGTTGATCCATCGCGTTTGGCCCTCCCACCCCTCAATCTCCTCATGACGTGCGCCCAGCCTGAGATGTCCTACCATATCCCACATTGCCAGGATGGGTCGGACACGTGTCCATTGCAGACCGTCCCTCGACCCCCATCTCCTACAGACCTGAGCTGGTACCATCCAACGCGCGTCCGTGCAACCCCTCTCCCCACCGACAGATAGGTTCTCCGTCTTTGGCCCCTACCGTAGCCACTGTTGCAGGGTTCGATCCGTGGGAAAGCCCTCGCAAGTCATCCCGGACCAGTTCAGTGACGAACACATGAGCATACTCACACTCAGTAGGACTTTATTTATTTATTTATGGACGTGATTGCAGCCGGATGCATCCAGGTCTGGCCGCAATTGGAGTAAGATGCATTTGGAAAGCGGTAGTGTGAGGACGCCCTAAGCGGGGCCAAGTCCCACAAGCGAAGTTGAGTTTACTGAACGCCTGAATCGGGACTGGTTTGTGGAGATGTGGGGTTGAGGAAACTCAACGCCATTTCTGCATCTCCATAAACACGTCCAGATTCAGGCGCTCAGGAAACTCAACGCTGCTGGTGGGACTTGACCCCGGGGAAGGAACACCAACCAACCCGACCCGGATCTCTCCCCATGGGCGTGTTCCAACCCGACCCCGATCTCTCCCCAGCCCCCGGGGTTGGCCAGCACCACAGGAGTGGTGCATGTACCAGCCCCTCATCACGGTGATGCGGTGTGGGCAGGCATGGCCGATGGGGGGAACCCGTGGTGCTACGGGTAGTGCCGAGCACTATGGCCAGTCGCTGCACCTCCCCCTAACCCCGCCCCCAACCCCACATTAGGGGTGTCTAATGGCCAATATAGTTGCTGCATAGCAAATAAAGACTGTGTACCGCCCAGGGCGCCGGAGCGCAGCCAAACGGGAGCGAGGAGCAGGACAGGCGAGGTGGCCCTTTTCTCACTCCTCCCGCCTCCACCACCATCCATCGACGGCCGTGGAAAAATGTGAAAGAAAGACAAAAAATGTGGCGGGTGCATCTGGCCATGTTCTAGCGAGAAGTTCATTCCCATTTTGCAAATTTCGAGAATGGTGAGGCTATACCGTGAACCTTACCTTTGGGTCTCGCTGCACTACTCAGCACATGCGCAAAAGACAAAAACTACGGTGGTGTATACTTTCATGTTCTAGCGGGAATATTCATTCATTCACATCACATTTTGCACAGTGGTGGAGTGAGGGGGTTTGGCCATCCCTTCCGTCACTTATCACTTACTAGACCCCGCCTGCCCCAAAACAACCCCAACCCCCACCCCCCACCCCCTTCAAAAACGAAGGCAGAAACGAAAAAAAAAGAACGTCCACCCCAAAAAAGGAAAGGCCGGGCGATGCCCGCCACGGCCAAACAACGACCTATGCAACCTGCCCTTGGTCACCCGCGCTCCAACCTTTGAGCCGACCGTTTCGGCTACCGGTCTGTGCCCTGCTCCCGACCGTGCACCTTGTAGACTCCCCATAAACCCCGTTAGGACTCGTCGACACTTCCATAAAAAGGACGCCCCGCTACAGGACAAGTGCAACGGGGTAAGACGCAGCCTTTGGCTGCCAACATTGGCCAAGGTCCTGCCAATGGTGGCTTGCAGGGCCAAGGGGTTATCTCTAGCTGGTAGAACACCAAGACATTGGCCAAGGTCCTGCCAATGGTGGCTTGCAGGGCCAAGGGGTTATCTCTAGCTGGTAGAACACCAAGCTTGCCCAGGCACGTATTTTTTTGGGAATGGGGATTGAACCCACGGCCTCCTGATTGCAACTTCTGTGCCTTACCAACTTAGCTAGGTCCGCAGGCCAGTTGAAGGGTTCTACAACTAAAATTCCACCAATCCAAAGTCTGGGGGTGTACTCACACTAGCATCATCTTGCATGTATCTAACCGCATTCAGGACCGGACCTGGACGTATCTGACTGCAAATAGGTCCAGAAAGTCCTAGTGTGTGTATGTCCTGAAACCTTCCTAGAGGCAGAACCGGCGAGGCGCCACTCGTACACCAAAACGTGGCCCCACTCGTACACCAAGCCCTTCGTTTGTTTGTTTTTTGGGAAAATTGCATGTGTACCCCACTTAAAGATGGGAATACCCGCTATACCACTGCCAACTTGCACCCATACCCGGAAAACAACCGGTGGAAAATATTTGCATGCCCAGGACTGAGGTGGACTAAGGTCCGTACCGCGAAATTGCAGTTATAACCTTTTTTTTTTTTCCCTTACAAAAAGCTCCCTCCGATGCTACCCTCTTTCCCCGAACATAAGGCATATGCATTGTAAATGAATACAATGCATACCGTGTGTTGTATTCGTTTACAACGCATATGCATTATGTTCGAGTGAACGAGACCAACTTTACCAGCACAAGGGGGTCGGGTCCAGGCTGAGTAGGCTCAGTTCTGGATCACGGTTGGCGGCCTCAAAGCCTTGGCAAAAAGGTAACAGTATAGTAGCGACGTACCTTTCCATGTTCTGGGTTGAGTTTAATTCCCTTCACTACTTGGACCCTTGCTCCACTCCTCAACAAATGTGCAAAATGAGAATGAATCTTCCGCTAGAACATGGACAAATACAACCCCTCCTTTTTTTTGTCTCGGTGACCACGGTAGTGCAGCGAGGCCTTGGTGAGTGGCTTTCTTATTATTCCACTTTCTTGGCTGCGCCACTTTCTTGGTCGCGCCACATTTTTGGCTGTCAGAAGCGCCTTCGTGCACAGAGAGAGAGAGAGAGAGAGAGAGAGAGAGAGAGAGAGAGAGAGAGAGAGAGAGAGAGAGAGAGAGAGAGAGAGAGAG